TTTTTTTTTTTATACCAAAAATTAAAACCAGTGCCATATTCTGTTTACAAGCAACTGACTTCTGTGAATCTAAGTGATCCTATTATATATACGAGTCAGGGAAAATAAAAAAACATCTACAATGCAACAATGTTGAATCATATCATCAAAATTATTTCAAAACTGAGTTACTGAAAAATTACAGTTACATAGTATCTCAAATAGTTCCCCAAATTCATAACATTTACATTGGAACTCCTATAATAATCAATGTTGTCACTTTGTAAAAGTTTGTTTTATTAATCAACATGAACTAAATGTCAGAAAAACTGTAGGTTCAAGAAATCAGTTTAACACAAAAATACGATACCCTACAACCTGAGCACTTTTGAAAGTTTTCAGGTTATAGGGTACAGTGTTTTTGTGAATAAGTCTGAACATATTTCTAACATTTGACATGAAGTTTAGTATGTGATAGTTTTGGTAAAACTTCAGTGCTCCTTTCTTCTTCTTTAGTGTTTTGTTTAGTAGATTCAGATCAATGGAAGGTTGTATATTACCATTAATTAGTCACAAAGTCTATACACGAAATCCAAACTATATGCTCACTAACAACTGCCACCATTTGTCTTTTATAATACTCACTACACTTATGGTCCACATACTACATCATATTGAGAAAGCATATGGTTTACTTATCATGAAACTCAATGTACAGAACTGACTAAACAAACTGGGTGAAATCTCTTATATTTTATAGAAAAATACACAGAAAATCACAACAGCAATTATTGAATTTTACGTGTTTGTGAGATTAGTCTTTCAATTTATAGTATATTACCCATTTCAAATGAAATATCCTGAAGTGCTACTGACTTGAATTCATTAACGGAAGTTAAAATTTAATGGTTTTTCTTTATCAGAAGTAATAAAAAAAATTTAGCAAAAAACCAAGTGTGATGTAGGATTGGCAATGTCAAAAAGTACAGAAACAAGGTAGGGATGAATACACAAAACCATACAAAAATCACTACACAAACAGCCCAATCTTTCCAAGACTAACTTTTATCTAACTAAATGATGAATTCCAGTCAGTTGTATGATTTCAGGTTTGAATAATAGCATTTAAACTGAATAGTGCTACATAATCTTACAGAGGCTAATAACCATAAGCTCATAAGATCAACTCAGTACTTACTGGCTTCTTATATAGGGATTTTTGTATTGTTTTGTGTATTTATCCCTACCTTATTTCTGTACTTTTTGGCATTCCCATCCCTACATCATTCATAATTTTTGTAAAAAATTTTTTTATTACTTTTCCCCCTTTTTTAAAACAATTTCATTAAAGTAGGTTGATAAGTGAACGTACGTTTTATTTAATAATTGAATGATAATATGTATTGTCAATATCATATCAGTTTCTCTAATTTTGAATGACATTTGGGGCCAATGAAGCTGGAATGGTTCCTCCAGGATGGTACAAGTACCCCAGAGCACTGGACTGACGTTAAGGGGATATTTACATAACCCACGTCTTCCAACTTTACACTAACTCACTGCATGTACAGAGAATCAACTCCACCACATGCTAGGATCATGTTGATTAATATGGAGGACATCATACAGATCCTAGATACCATGCATACACACACAGCAGCCAGGCTTGGCCTTACCAAAAACTTGAAAAAGAGTAGACAACTATATAATGTATTATTTTGATAATTAAGAAACTGGTGTTTTTAAACTGAGACATCAATACATGTACATAGATCTGTCAGTTACATAAGTACTTTATTTCCTTCATACCTTGAATATTAATTTTTGATTATTTTTTTTTACTGAAATTGTTTTGGCAAATATTATGTTTATGAAATGAAAAAATCACAAATGGTCGTTATATAAGAACAATTTGTGCTGCCATCTACTGACCAGAAATGAAACATGGAAATAATATATGCTTATATATTGAACTCACTGCTGAGTCATGATTTTCCTTATTATTTCCCCACCAAAACGATAGAAGATCAAGAAAGT